TGCCGATACGGGGCTCCCTGCTGCCCCACTTTTGTTTCTGCCCTGCTTGCAGGGGTCACGTTTTCTCTGGTGGGGAGGCTGCTGGGGAAGCGCTGGTTAGGGCACTGCCAGCTCCGAGGGTGTTCAGGAGAGGCAGGTCGCGCCAAGCTGGGGGGGCCGCTCCCGAGTGTGTGCACGCGCGAGCGTGTGTGTACGTGTGGACACGCTCCGCGCTGCCTCGCGCACAGGGGCCGGCACCAGCTCCAGGGCAGCTGCTCAGGCCCCACGAGAGGCTCTGGGGCCCAGTGGGCTGCAGCGAGAGCCCCGCGGCGCCTGTGATCCCACTGCCAGCACAGCAGTGACTCCAGGCCAACGCCAGAGCTCCGTGACGAGCGGCAACCCATCCTCCCGATACAGTACGAGCGGTTACATTTGGATTTGAGCTGGAGATGAGCCTTCCCTGGAAAGGCTGCCCAAAGAATGAAATACAAACAAAAGTTACAGCAGAGCTTGCCTGAGCACACGGGGAACGCTCGTTCCCGGGGGACAGCTGCAGCCGTGCACTGCTCATCCACATGCAACGCTCTGGACGAAGGAAGGGCTCGTCCTGCCAACCGCCCAGGTTTCATCAAGGTCTCTCAATTTTAAAAGCCTCAGACCGCAGGCACCAGGACACACAGTGCACTGCACTTCAGCGACTTTAGGTTCGCGCCCTCTGTAACCTGTGCAGGTAGTCACGGCAAATGCAGCGTGTGCGACAGCTCGCACTGCTGTGCCATGCTGAGGCTCAGTGTAACCACAGCCGGGATGAAACCGGGCTCCCTAATCACCCAGGAACGTCAAAAGGGAGCAGAGCTCCAAAGCCACCGCTTGTGGAAGGAAGGCAGAGCGAGCGCAGCCCATTCACCGAGGAGAGGAGGTGGCAGCAGGGGCTTCACAAAGCAACAGTTGCCACGCCAGCTTTTGGAAAAACCAGAGACAAATAGCTACGGAAAGCAGATGAAATTTAGGCAAATATGTGCTGGAAGAATGGGGCATATTTAGCTAGAAGCAAGTCTTTTAAAATGGAAGTGATCCTGCACTCTAGAGAGCACAGGTAAGACAAGACCACAGCCAGCATCCAGCTGCATCTGCATAACTTTCTTCCCTGGTAGGAAACACTAGCCCAACACAGAACCGTCCGCATCCACAGAAATGCCTCTGTGGGTGTCCATCAATCCATGCAGAGAATGTGCCACAGACCTCTCCTGCCTCCAAGAGCTGCCAAGCTGGCCATTCGCTAGCGTAAAAAGGTTGTTGCTATTACACCAGCACCAGTAATTAAATAGCACACGTGGAGAAAAAGTAATACCATGGGCCTGGCCAAGTAATATTCCCTCCAGATTGCTCTTCCTGAAAGAAAGGCAGGGTTAAAGCTCCTGCGCTCTCCTGGCCTGATCTGGTGTCATTAGCTCAGCAATGCTAGCCTGCCAGCTGGACGTGTTTTTCCTTGAGCTGGAGTCCTACAGAAAATACTGTAAAACGTGGTAGCACTCCAATCCAAATGAGATACATGTTCTCCTCCCAAATCACCAGACTAAAAACCCCATAGAATCAGTAATAGCTAGTTTTGTTAAAAATATATCTATCTTATCTTGAAGGGATCAATTGAAGCATTTCATAATAGCTCAGCAACCCACTCAGCCTTCTGAGAAGCAGCTTTTTCTTCCTCAAAACTTACTTTCTAGTGGAAAAGTCATGCTTACAAAAATAACGCTATATTCAGGACAATAAATGCAGCAACTTTTGACAGAAACATTGCTGCAGTGGTAGCTGTCATGTAACCTCACTGCAGAACATGCCAGTGGCAGGAGAGAGGGAGGCAAGCGAGTGCGCTCGGGCCGACACCACTGCTCAGGCCCAGGGGCATCGCCAGGGCAGTGCCGCGCTGCTTGCGCTGTGCCATGGCAGAGGCAGGCCAACACCATCCCTACTCCAAAAGGGCAGGAACACATTTCAGCATGCACGTGATCGGAAACCTCGGCAACCCTCGCAGGAACCGGAGCTTGCAGGAGGAGTGATGAAACCATTCCGGGACTCCTGAAGGAAGTCCTGCTCAAGCAGGTGGAGATGATAAAGCTTTGCTGGATCCTTGCTAACATTTATGATAAGTTATACATAAAGGTGGCAGGGACAGCGAACTAGAGACAAAAATCCTAAAAATATCTTGCAATATGATTGCCAGCACAAGTGGGACAAAAGGCAAGACCCACTCTTAGCTTAGAAGTAAGGTGGAAATAGCATCAGTTTACCGCCAGCACAAGTGGGACAAAAGGCAAGATCCACTCTTAGCTTATTTTAGGTAAACTGATGCTATTTCCACCTTCCTTGTATCAGTGGAGTTTGATCAACAGCCAGCATCATTCAGAGAAATGTCTCGATTTAACAACTAGTCCTCTGCGAGCTCAGAAAGGGCACCTTTGCTAGAGCCTCCCTGCCATGCAGAAAATGCTTTGGTAGAAACAAAGAAAAACTTTAAAGTGTATTTTCAAGAACCGATTGAAATAAATGCCCACATCTGATCTAAGATGGGTTTGCTAATAAACCTGCAACTCACGAGCATTGGCAGCAACGGCCACTCGGCAAGAACGGTAACTCTGATTTGCAACAACTGCCCAGATGATAGATGGCTCTAGATACTTTTCAAAGTGAACTGTATCTTCAGTAGCATTACCAAGGTCTACCTCAGATAACAGTTAAGATACGTGGTATTTATTGATGTGATATAACACCAAAGTCTTCTTTTCCTTTGCAGGTTTTCCCCAGCAATATTTTTATATCTGATTTGCATAGTACCATCATTATGGCTGCTAGAAATTCATCATGGGACTCAGGTATTTATCATGAGACAAGATGGGCTGGTGGAACGGGACACATTATTTGATTGAGGGGATGGGAGCATACAGAAGCCTGTCCACTCTTGCTCCCATTTTCCAGTAATTCCTGGTGGATCTCCCACAGCTATAGGAGTCCCATAGCACTACTAGCACTTTCCATGCACTACTACATATTTCCTCCATGTCAAATAATGGGGGTCATTCCTACCCCACATGAGACCATTTTTTCAGTTGGGAAACTGAGACCTAGAAGTTTTGAGGTTACCAAAATACTGCCCGTCACCCACAGGTTATCATTTTCACCATTCTAGGCAGGCTTCGTAGAATTTCATTGCCTTATAGGCCTTCATAAAATAAAGCGCTGGTTTCGCAGCACTTGCAGGCAGATGCCTCAACTCCAAAATTAAGACAGGTGCCAGACATACTCACAGATTATTTCCACAAATTAGCCAACGTGTGGTAATTTGTCTGTACCTATTTATGTCCTTTTTGGGCTCATGGTGTGCAGCAATCTGGGGGCCAGGCG